CGTGTCCTGATTCCTCCAGACCATGGAGCACGCAGCGCTCCTGCAAACCTAGGAGCTCGAACAGCTGCCGTAGCTCCGCCATGGCATCGCCGAAGAACTGGCATCCAGACAGCCTCGCCGCCAAAACAAACGTCCTGATGGCGACCGATTATCCATCTCGACTGCCACCTGTGCATACCCTCTTTAACCAAATATGAGATCGATCTGGGCGGCATACTCACCATGTCTATGATGTAGTTGTTGCTGCCAGCTATTACCTCACTAGATATCATGCTCCAATCGGCCCACCGCCGCCACACCTGCATATACTCCATTCTTCTCGGACCTGTGGGAAAGAACAAAGACGCCATGATAATATTTGCCTTTGACCGCCTTGGACAAATAATGAAGGCCACCATCGTCGGCCCTGGTCTCCTGCGCCAACACAATCGCGGACCTGGCCTTGTCGAAGTACTGGAGCAAGGGGCTAGCACTGTCCGCGTTGACCGTGGTGACAATGCCCTCGACCTTCAAATCGGAATGCGTGTCCCGTACTTGTTCAGGAACGCGCCCATTATCTTCCATGGTGTATGTAGCCGATTGCTGCGTGGTGCTGTCCCTGGCAGCGGCGCCTTGTGGAGACGCCCATGGAAAGGTCGCGCGGCTGTGCCTTCCTTTATTTGTTGGGAGGGCCTTATAGGGTGCTCCGCGCATCGCTGTCCCTTATTCAAAAAAAAAAACCCTCCCCCAGGCGACTGGTAGCCAACCCAGGACAGCGCGGGCATCCCCCCTCCCTCCGCTTTGTTTTTTTTTTTAAACCTAACAGCTTTTGCTGATAGATTTCTAGTGGTGTCAAGAGATCGCATCTTGACGCCCCAGGGGGGTCTGGGAGGGAACCGGACAAGGAACCGGACGGATCCGCCAGCCCCACGAATCATTAGGAATCCATAAGGATCCTTAGGAATCCTTAGGAATCCATTCCCAGAACACCACTCCCAGGCCACATTTCGAATGCACGGAGCCAACTGTAAGCCACTTCGTCTTCTTCGTCTTCCCGGATCGCCGCTCCCAGGCAAGATTTTGAATGTTCGGAGCAAACTGTAGGCCACTTCGTGTTCTTCGTCTTCCCACAACACCATTCCCAGGTCACATTTTGAATGCCCGGAGCTAGCTGTAGGCCACTTCGTGTTCTTCGCGC